AGGTTATTTTATTTCTGTACAGGATTGCTTGAGGCCATAATTGTTAAGTATATCACGTGCTTGTAGCATGGTTTTGAGGTTCGGGCCTGCTTTTTGTGTCACGTGACACAGTAATGCTTTAACTTGGCCAAGTTTCTTCTGTCAGAGGAGTTCCAGGCCAACTTAGGGTTTCTTTCTCTATCCGTGTTTACCTTGATTTTTAATGCAGGGTTTCTTGCTGAACCTACAGTTCACCTTCTCAGCTAAGCTGGCTGGCCACTGAGATTCATGGAGCTTCGTGGCTTGGCCCCTCAGACCCTGGGATGGGGAACGCCCACGTTTGGCTTTTACAGGGGTGCTGGGACCTGAACTCAGGTGTATTCATTTTGATTTAGAGCCGCACTGGCATGGGAGTAACCACCAAGGTGAGTCATATTCATTTTTCCCTCTTGATTTTAAAAGGAATTAAAATACTTGCTGGACCTCAGGCCTACCGAACTGTGCCTACTGGATCAATTATCATTGTTGAGAAGAGCCCATCCCCCATCCTAGCTGATCACCCAGAGGGGCCTGTTAGCAAGTGCCTCATGTTTTGCACCGAGCTCTCTCTGTGCAGGGTAGGGGTTTGGGGTAGGAGTGTGGGGGTGAATTAGTGGAACTCAGCTTCTGCAGACTCCTCCTCTTACTGTGTGGGGACAGGTGCCACTGGGGAGCCAAGGTCCCTGCTGTGTGGCTGAGCTGGGGAGGGCAGCTGGATCATGTCCTCCACCATTGCTGCTGATGCCAGGAGAAGAGATTGTTTTTCCTGGAACCAGAGCTTGAATTCACTAGAGTGATAACAGTTTGGCCTCCAGGATGAAGGACACCGCCATAACTCACAGCGTCAAGAGGCCCTGGAAGCATTCATCGGGCGTTCATTGTTTTTCTCAAGGCAGATGAGAGCTACACTTTTTAAAAATGGAGGGTGAAAATTAGCCTGGCTGGGTCTCAGCCATGAGGCCAACTGCTAGAAGAACCCCCTTGCCTCAAGTCCATACGGCTTCTAGAAGGCTCTGCACTGCAAAGCCCTTCTTCGTCCCCTTTGTCTGTAGAGGGAAAGCCACAAGCTGCTTTCCAGGGCCACCCAGGATTAGACTTCAACTTAATGGTCTGTATTTTTTTTCTGTTATTCCTAAAGCTGGTCCTGTGTTCTTATCTCATTGGTTGTGCCTATTTCTCTCTCCTGCTATGCCCTTCCTCTTCCAGGAAGCCCCCCAGGAAGTTGTCATAGGGCTCTTTCTTCTCTTCATTGTCTCCCAAAGACCATGCAGCCTGCCTGCTGCCACCTATGCATGTCTCTTCTGCCCCTAGAGGGAGAACCTCTGCAGGATGAGGTCTTTAATCTTGTTCTCCGTGTCACTCTCTCAGGCTTGCTATGCTATTCTGCACACACAGGTGATGCCCACCAAATGACGTGAGGTTGGACTGGCTCTCTAGTGGGAAATCACCTTGCTCTACTTAGGCAGTCTGGGGACCTGCAGCTCTATTGGAACTCCAGACCTATGCCTCGAGGCATGCCCGGCATCCCTGTTTCTAATTAGGCAGAGCCCTAACCTTGAGTCTTCGGCCTCTTTGGCCAGGGAGAAACTCAGGACACTGGGCCTGGCAAATGCATTGGGTCCAGGAATCCATAAATATTGATTGGTTGTTTGCAGAGTAATTTAAATGTCAGTTATAAGCCTGGGGTAGATAAAGATCTGTATCAACAATAAAGCTGGATGCAAGCCATCAAGCCCTGGGGAAGGAGCTTTGCGTTAAGACAGAAATGGAATGCACAGGCTGTGGGGAGGGAGTGTCGGGTGGGCGGTGGATCAATGACTGTGAGACTTGACTGCCACACAGCTTTAGCTGGGATGTGCTTGCTCATTACCAAGTCTGCTGTTTGTGGATAGAAGCAATCTCCTACCCATCTATCCATCTATCCATCCATCCATCCATCCATCCATCTATCCATCCATCCATCCACCCATCCACCCATCCACCCACCCACCCATCCATCCATCCATCTATCCATCCACCCTCTCAGTGCAGAACTCTGTTCCTCCGTTACTCACAGAGCTGCAGATGCAGATACATCACACACCCAGGACAGAAAGACTCCTGCCTGCAGAGGAACAGTGGTAAAGAGAGATGGTGGAGACAGAAAGGAAGATGAGGGGAAGGGGAGAGAAAGCCTGTGCTCCATGGTGGGATGGTGGGCTTGGCTGTGGTCTCAGTTGGGGTTCAGCCTCCTGGGGTGTGCTGCTGAGCTGCGGTTAAGACCCATGGCTTAAGAATGAGGTGAAGTTCAAGCGTCTGCTTCACACTAGAGCCGCGCGGTTCTCAGCCTTCCGAATGCTGTGTGACCCTTGGTACAGCTCCTCAGGTTGTGGTGACCGCCAGCCATAAAACGATTTTCACTGATACTTCATAACGACAATCTCACAACTAAGCTGGGTCTCGGTTCTTAAGGCCATTGGAAATGCGTGTTTCCCGGTGGTTGCGACCCACAGGTTGAGAACCGCTGACCTCTGGGCTCGTACTGTTGGCCTGCTTAGCGAGAGCTCCGAGCCTCGGTTTACTTCTCTTCCACACGGACATCTTACATAAATCAGGATTTGCACCTTCTAGGTTTAGGGAGGGCTAGATCCCATAGTGTATGTATATTAACTGCTTGGAACCCGAGAGACACTCTAGTGAGACTGGTCTCTTGATTCCACTTCAGAGCCTTGGCAGCATATGGCTACCCCTCTCTGTGCCTTGGTTTTTCCACCTGTGAGGAGAAGAGAGGGAGCCTTGAGGGTTTCACTGCTGCCTGCCTCCCCTCCCTCCCCTTCCTCCCTCCCCTCCCTCTGCTCCCTCTGGTTTGTGCTTCTCTGTGCTTGACCTGGGTGCACTTTCTGTCCCCAGCAGAAGGGTTCACTGTTTTTTATTTAGCCATAGTCAGACCCAGCAATTGAATTGCTTGCCTCTGCTTGGCTGACACAGGAAGCTGTGCCTGGCAGGTTCCCAGAAGGGATCCATGGCAGGATGTACCGGGCTGCTCTGGGAAGCCAAACCAGATCCATACTCTCTCCACCCAGGCTTCCCGGGAAAGACCCACTGGCCTTTGACCTTCGGCCTGGAAGGACCTGCAGACTCCCCCAGGAGTCTGACGCTAGCTGGATTGGGAAAACCTCCTCATGGAGGTACTGGGGGCCATTAGTTTCTGACTCCACAGCTACACCCCAGTATGTTGGCAACTGCTATCAGGTACTCATGGGAGGAACAGTAGCACAAGGCTGGAAAATGACATACAGTGATGTCACTTCTGCCACACGTAGGCCAAAGCCAGTGCCAGCCAACCCAACCTAGCTGTGGGTGGAGAAATCTTCTCCAGGACTTTTGTGGCAGTAGCTTCAAGGTCAAGTGGTAATGGCTAGATATCACTGGTGTGTGTGTGTGTGTGTACGTACAGTGTGCCTGCACTCATCTGTCTGCTTGTCTGCTTGCCTTCCTGTCTGTCTCTCTGTCTGTCTGTCTGTTTGTCTGCCTGCTTGCCTTCCTGCCTGACTGTCTGTCTGTCTGCCTGCCTGCCTGTCTGTCTGTCTGTCTGTCTGTTTGCTTGCCTTCATGTCTGTCTGTCTGTCAGGGCCATTGATGTGGCAAGTCTCTAAACCAAGCAGACTGCTGTCAACACACAAAAAAACCATAGCTCTCATCTCAGAGGGAACAAAAGAGAGAGTTTATTTTGGGGTCAACTATGAGTGTCCACAGTCTGGGAACACAGATTTTGGTCGCCCTAAATATAATATTGTGTAATGTGGTAATAGTTTTTTGAAGTTTGTCTTAGTTGTAAAAGAACAAAGAAATCCATAAACCTAGATATTTTCAAATACATAGGTGGGAACATCAACTGGGGGTGGAATGGTTACAGGAGGGTGGGACCTCAGATGCTTTCTGATGACAGTCTCAACCTTGGAACAGGTGAATAGTCACAAGGATGTTAAATCACCCGGGGGTTGGAGGATAGATGACTAGTTAGGAGGCTAAGATAATTTAAGATAACCAGTTACTTGATCTGCAGTGTCCCAACTCCCCACAGCCACTGAACTTGTATGTGTTGACTCAGGTAAGGATGTCAGTGAAGGAGGCCACAGGAGAGCTTGCCCTTGACATCTTGTTTGTCTTCACTTGGCTTGGATCCATAGCTCTGCAGAAACAGTGCAGTTCACGGTCTGAGTCTGCTGAGACAGGCAGAAGACTGCTCTGCCTTCCAATCCTGCCTGGACTCCAGAGGAGAAGCCTTGGGATTGGAGACAGTCCAAACAGGTATAAAAGAAAATGTCTTCAGGCTAGGCCTGGTCGTGGATGTTTGCCATCCTAGCACTTGGAAGTCTGATGCAGGAGGATGTTGTAGTTGTAGACTAGCTACCGAAGAACTTTGTCCCAATTAAACAGAAGAAATGTAACAAGGAAGGAAGCCAGGTGTGGTGGCACACACATCTTTAATCCCAGCACTTGGGAGGCAGAGGCAGGAGGATCTCTATGAGTTCGAGACCAGCAGCTTGGTCTACAGAGCAAGTTCCAGGACAGCCAGGGCTATACAGAGAAACCCAGTCTCAAAAGGAGGAGGAGGAGGAGGAGGAGGAGGAGGAAGAAGAGGAGGAGGAGGAGGAGGAAGAGGAGGAGGAGGAGGAGGAAAGAAGGAAAGAAGAAAGGGATTCCCTAGGAAGCATAGAGGGGCTTCCTGATTCTGCTCTGGCTGCTCTTGGACAGGCAGCCTGCCTGGGCATCACACTCCAGTGTTGAGAAAAAGACACATGCCCACCCTTATCCCCCACCTCCTGTTCACTTCTTCCTGAGTCCCTCAGGGCTCTGGCCTGGAGTTGAACACCAGGAGCACCAGGAGGACCAAGTCAGGCTGAAGCCCTCCCCCGCCCTCCACTCTCATGGAAACAAACACATGGGAAGGACTTCTTTTACTAGACCAAGTGCCTGTCCTTTCCCAAGAGAACCAAATGATTCACTAAATGGAGCTAGAGTCTGTGGCCTGGCCTCTGGCACCGAAGACAGAATGAGGTAAGAGTGTCCTGTGGGGGAATCAGCACTCCATGGCTGGGAGGAATGCCGCCTTTGGAGAGGTCCTGAGAAAGCCTGACTCTGCATATTCTAGCCATCACTAGTCTGGCCTCCCTGGCCGCTCTAAAGACCTCCCTCAGGAGGCAACTCAAATAAACATCCTTTGTCTGACTCCTGCTGTCACAGTCTGCCTCTTTGTGTCACCTAGAACTACAGCCTGACACATCTACACAACTTCTCAGTGGCCCCCAGCAACCCCCTTCACTTGTGCTGTGCACAAGTTGGCTGTGCACCCCCTACCTAAAGAAAGCATCCAGCTCATCCTCAGATGGGTGGTCACGTGTGCACTGTCCCTGACTGGCGGGAGTAGGTTTAATCAGAAGGAGTCAGGGACCTGCTTGCTTGAGGGCCCTGGGTTAATCCATAGAAAGGACCCTGGCTCACCTGTCTCTTTCACTCAGAGCAACAAGGCTTGAAGAAGTTTTGGCTTTCCTCTGCAGGAAACTGTGTACTACACTGGGGACAGTGTAGATGTGGAGTCACTGTCTGCTGAAAGGGAGAGAGAGAAGAGAGGCGCCATCGTGGTCTGGGGGCAAAAGCCGAGGTGGGTAGATCTGTAAGTATCCCCTTCGCCCGAGGCTTGGAATCTTCACCCTCCGAATGTCTACCAGGATTACTCTTTCTTAACTCAAATAAGACCCCTTAAGTCTGTGTTCTTTGCTGAAGATTCAGGGTGTAGGGCAGGGAGAGCTCCAGGCAGGCCAGGGTCAGAGGCAGCAGGGAATGTCAGATATGCGCTGGGTGTGGCATGGCAGAGGGACCACTGGCAGCTGGATGAGATGGCCTTTCAGTACCTCTGAGGCCTTGCAATCTTGCTAGGTTTTACGGACCTCTCTTTGAGTCCTAATATTCAATGTGTTTATTCTCGTTCTGAACACACATGAAAGCTGAAATACGCCACCCGCATCCTTGGGATTAGGGAGTAGCCAAGCATGTTGTAACATGTGGCTTCATTTTAGTTTCCTGCTTTGTTTATGAAAGAGATATTACGTTTTATTCCCGTTTTACAGATGTGTAAGTAGAGTACATAGCATGCCCAGCATCAACCCTAATACTCCCAAAGGGTGAGAACTTGCCTAGACCAGAAGAAGTCTTTCGTCCCAATGGAGTTTCTGTGTTTCAGGCTCTGGGTTGGGCAATCTGAAACACAATCTCTTTACCACATCCCTGGAAACCAAGGCTTGTTCTAAACCGTATCACAGGGTAGAGAAATGGATGTTTGAGATTTTGAGGATGATTCCAAAAGGATTCCTCCAGGTGAGCGTGTTGAAATTGGGCCTTGAAGCACATGGTTTCAACAGCTCAGAGGTAACTCTGGCTTCTTACAGAATGCCAGGTGGGGAAGTCTTGGAGGTCAGGCATGGTGTTCCCACTTGTGGTTCATGGGACAGTTTATGTGGAACACTGAAGAGAGAGTGGAGGCTGGCAAGATGGCTGAGTGAGCAAAGGTGCCTGCTGCCAAGCAGATGACTCCAGTTTGATCCCGAGGGCCCACATCTTGGAAGGAGAGAACTGACTCCTGAGAGCTGACCTCTGACTTCCACAAGGGCACCATGGAATGCAGAAGCCCATTAGCCCCCCCCATCCCAACGTCCCTTTCAACAACAACAACAACAACAACAATAGTAAAAATTTAAAGGCACCAACCTTAGCTGGGGTAATAGCTCAATTCATAAAATGATTGCTGTGCAGGCGTTAAGACCTGCACTTAATCCTAAAATAACTTAGGTATAAAAAAGTGCCCGACATTGTGGCTAGAGATTGTAATCCCAGCATTGGGGAGGCAGAGACAGAAGGATACCTAAGAGTTGCTGTTGAATTCCAGGCCAACAAGAGACATAGTCTAGAAAGAAAAGGTTGTTCTCAGAACTCCACACCCACACATGTAATCCCCTCCACACGTTCAAGTGAACACCCCAACTTTAACCTACACACACACACACACACATACACACACGTGAACCGACACATGCTATGAACCTACACACTCATGTGAAACTACATACACACATACACACACACACACACACACGTGCACACAGATACTCACACACATGTGAACCTACACACACACATACACACACCCAGGTGAACCCACTGCACACACTTGTGAACTTACACACATGCGCATACATGTGAACCTACACACACATACACACATACACACACACACACAACAATATACCACACACACAGAGAGATACCCCGAAGGACACATAGACAGCGTAATTAAGAGCAGCAATCCATATTGATTTACCATTTCTGTGAATGACGTTATTTGCTATTCACGGCCATTACAGTTAAAAAGCTATTAACTAGCAAGTGTTTCCTCTGCTATCTCTTCACACTGGGTCCTCGGCCCCTCCCATCAGGATGAGTGCACCCCGTGGGGGAGACTCTCATTCCTCAGGCTCATGCAGCTTCTCCAACACATGAGCACCCTGAACACCTGGGTCCTTGCTAAATGCAAATTCTCCCTTGGCAGGGCTGGGGTGGGTCCGAGTTCTGTATTTCTAACAAGTTCCCAGGGGAGCCTCAGCAATAAGGGTCCTGAGTCTGCTGGTCCTCCCATTCTGGGGACAGACAGGTGCTTCCGTAGAAATGGGACAGTGAACCCCTCTAGAGAGCATGCAATGTGAAATGAAAAGATTCGTGGCTGGTCGAAAAGTAAAGGCTTCGGGCCTGGGAAGACAGGTGGCTTAGTGGGTGCATATGTGCACCCACACACATACCACACACAAATAAATAGAAAAAATTTTAAAGTCCTTCTACAAGAAAAAAACCCAGACACTTGCAATTTATTCTTTTCTCTCAAATATTTTTTTGCTTTCTATTTAGTTGATGGACTTAGAACTTTTAACATCCCCGGGCACAGCCTCAGGGGTTAGAAAGCTACGGAAGTCCTCCCTCCCTTTCTCTCCCCATCTTTTTAGTTCAAAGGCCTGGACCAAGTGTTTGGGAGTTTGATCCGAAATTGTGCTGGCTGTTTGTAGCCTGGGGGCAGGCTCTTGCTGAGAGATACAGCCTAGAGAGCACTGGCCTTCTGGATTCTTCAGGGCTTTCCTGTGTGATCTCCTGCCATGCTCACAGGCGTGCCACCCACTGTCTGCTGACTCACTGTGGTTGCTGGTGAGTGTGTCTTGTTTTCCCAGGGGGTGACAAGCTCTAAAAGTAGGTGTGTGGGAGGAGGGGAAGCAGGTATACAGAGGAGAGGAGCCTGAGGCTGTTCCTGTGCAACTCATCCACGGCTGAGGACACGGGAAATGGAGTGCCATCCCAGTGCTGGACATGGGAGAAGTTCAGCGAGCTGGGCGGCTGTGGACAGTAGCTTGTTGCTCACCTGGGAGAGATCACCCTAATGGGACTGCTGAGATGGCTTTAGCAGGAGCTTGGTGCCAAGTCTCACGTCTTGAGTTCAATGACTGGGACCCATGTAGCAAGTGGAAAGAATGAATTTCTGAAGTTGTCCTCTGACCAACTCACACTTGCACACATACGCGCACACACAAACACACACACAAATATATATACACACACAAACACACAC